TATTAAAACAGTCCATATAGACTCTATTACAATTCATTTACACATTACATGCCAAAATTTAATTACAAATCTACTTTTACAAAAAAAATTGATTGAAAGCCACAAGTTGGCTTTTCTTCAACCATGTGACCCCGATTGCGAGCCGTCCACTGGAGCATGACCCACACCTGAAATATTTTCCGTATAGGGTGAGCCAATGCCCAATAGAATAATCCCTACAGAGGCTACTCATCACCTAAAATGCATATGTAATGTATACATGCAATATTTCACAACAAGTATTCCCTCCAACAATAACATACAATACAATGTTGGAAAAGCATGATGTCATGCCAAGTAATGAGATGAAACTCACTCATGCATGCTATCCCGAGCCTACACCGACTTCCACAACATAATGCGACACTTACGTGTAAAACAAACGAATCTTTTTTAAGTCTACATTATAACCTCAAAATCCCATAATTATTAAATAATCATAGCTTATGAAATGAATAAGAAACTCACATACTGTCTAGGATTGACAGCATCACTCCTTCTTCTTCCTTTCGGTTTGAGCTCAAGAAAATATCCACCAAGACTTAATTTCCCCAAAATCTCCCCTTTAGACCTTTGGTGAAATCCTTCATTTTTGGTACCGACACGTAGCCCTCGTCGCGTAGACCAACTTTAATTCTTGGTTCAAGCAATTCTGACAGACGTAGCCTAGCGGATTGACGGAAGAAAAACTTGAAAACTCTCTTTCTTTCTTCTCTTCCTCCAACGTCTGAAACCAGCTAAATATCAGAGATATTTCTGCTGAAATATATGATATTTAGCCCTATTTATAATTTCCAAGGCTTGGCCCGAGTTGCGCCACGTGTCCCCCTTTGTCCGGATCCATTTTCGCCCCGAAACGATTAAATTTCGTACCAATTTAAGATAAAAATATTTTATATGACGTTTATTTAAAATATTTTTTAAAATTTTAAAATTTTAAAATTTTTTATAAAAATTTCATTTTTAAGGGTCACCGGACACCCGTCACCTCGAAAAACGTGAAAAATCCGATTATCTCAGAATTCGACGAAATTTGTCTGGGTAACTAGATTCCGCAAGAAGAATCCAACGGTGTGGTCCGTTTTATTATCCGAGGTCTAGAAAAATACCAATTTTTTTTTAATCCGCACTATAATGACAAATTATCATTTTGCTCTTTTTAAGAAAAAATTAGAATTTTTTCCTGGGTTTCACAGTGATAATGATGGTGGTCTTTATAATGATAGTTAATCTCAAAGTTATAATTGATGGGTGGTGGTGGGGTAAAGTTCTTAGGACAAATTTGTGCAATATAAAATTAACTTAGTTGATGAAATTTGATTTGAATTGAATAACAAAATTAATTTAAATGGTTAACTTGGTTAGATTTAATTTCAATTTGAGCACAAAATTTAATTATTATCAAAATTTAGGCTAAATGGTAATAATAGTACTGGTGATATTAGCGGTAATAGTTCTATATAGTTGTATTTTTAGAGGATTTTGGTTGAATTTTTTATGGGACTCAAATTTTTTGTATTCAGTTTCTTAATTTTTATATTGTTAACGTAGTTGAATTTAATCATGAAAATTTGAAGAGGACCAGTTTTCATTGATGACATACTATCTCTCAACGAATATGTTTAAGTATGATATATGAAAAACATCTTTATTTGATAAAATTTGCACATCTTCATATTTTTGTAAGGACTTATTTTTAAAGAGAATTTAGTTGTAATTGATTGAAAGAATAGAAAAAAATATTATATTTAGAAACATGAGCATTCTCTAACCTATCAACATACTATGAGGACAAAAAGTGTAATTTAACTCGATAGAATGTTAAAAATTTAGTTTTAATTGATTTAGATTTTATTAATGTTTATTATATTTTTTGTTACAATTCATCTCTTAATCCCCCTTCCTTGCTTTCTATCTCATATTTATTTGATTGTTTTCATACCACAATGATTTTTGAATTTATTACCATTTAGATATCAATCAATAATTAAACGGTCATTGAACAATGTTTGAGATTGTTGTGATTTGTATTCTTTCAATTTTTTTTTAAAAACATAATAGGCCCATATTCTATTTATCAATGTTTTTTTTTTAGTTTTTCTAATTGATAATTTCTTATGGTATACAATCTCTTAATGCACATATATTTGTTTTTAATTTTTTTATTTATTTTGTTGTACTTTCAAACACGGACAATAGCTAATTATTATATAAAACTGTGCGTGCAAGATCTTGCACAATATAAAAAAGACGGGAACAGATCTCTCCCCTGGTGAACTCGAGTGAGCGGGTGGAGTGACCAAACACGTTGCTTGGGACAGCCTGCACGATACGGTGGTAACCCAGAATGGCAACGGGAGACCCTGGGAAAGGAGTGACGGTCCTGTAAGGATGAAAGGGGTTCCTGGAACAAAGAAGAACAAGTTAGAAGGGCGCCGGAGTGTTTTTCGGCGTATCCCCTCCGACGGTCTAGTCAGTCTTTGAGTGAGAGAGAGGAAGGAGAAAACACTGAGAAAAACGTATTGTCGTAGAGAGTTTGTTGTTGCATACCTCCTTTGTCTTTTGGGAGGAGTATTTATACCTTAAAAGCTCATGATTGCTGTCAGTGTGGTCAGTAGGTGATCATTAGGCACAGGTAGCGTGTGCATTGATTCTGATGAGGAATGTCTTTTCTAATTGACTGCTCGGGGTCCCGAGAAATTAATGCTGAGTCGTCGGGATGCCGACGGTACAATATGCTCCTCTCGGGGAGGATGCAATAAATGCTCCGTAATAGGAGCATTTATTGTCTTTCATTTCCGAGCCTTACCGCATTGAATGCGGTCTCATCAACAGAAGGGTGCAATTAATTGCTTGCTTCCCCAAGCCGCGTGTCAGCAACGGCGTGCAGTTTGTCTGTCTCTGATGTGACATCATTTGCCACGCGTCCATCCCCTATTGGCTGTGACATCTGCATTCCAGTATGCTCTGACATTACTTGTGTAAGACGAGGTTATGATGAGCAGCCTAGACTAGCCTAGGCTAGTGACCTATACGTCAATAGCTTATCCTGGAGTAGAGGAAGCGTCCGGGACGGAGTAACTCTCGGCACCGAGGAAAGGCTCCTCTCGGGGACCGAGGGAGGTATGCGACCGAGGTACATAGGTTACCGATGACACGTGTTAGTTGTAAAATANGGGACGGAGTAACTCTCGGCACCGAGGAAAGGCTCCTCTCGGGGACCGAGGGAGGTATGCGACCGAGGTACATAGGTTACCGATGACACGTGTTAGTTGTAAAATATACTGAATGCATGATCCTATATGAGGGTACCTTGGGGGCGAGGACATTCGTTCGCCGATGGTGCTTGATCCAAGCAACAGTGTTTTAGCAAAATCGAGGACACGTGTCTTCATCATAGGGCATTTCAGAAGAGTCCCATCAAAAACATCTGGTTGTTAAGTATTCTTTCTATCTATCAGCATCGCAAATCCTCAATTAAGCTGGCGTATCTTCGTAGATAACAAGATTCAATTGGAGCCAGGCAATTGGCACTTTCTGGAGATAGTGGTTGCCCTGCGTGCTGCGTGCTGCGTGCTGGGTGCTGAGTGCTGGCCTACTAATAAAAATAGCAATCACAAAGTTTGTTGAACCCATTTTACATGGTCACCTCCTAATGTCCCCATTGACTAGAAAGTTCTTCATGGTCGTCACTAATGGAATAGTGAGATATTGAAAACATTATAGCCACGAATCAATCAAAGGACATTAGGTCCATAAAATAATGGTAGGAATTAATAGTCATTTACCCATTTGAAAGTAGAGTTTAAGGTGTGAATGAGCTTTTTTGTTGGGTTATAGGGAGTTCAAATTTGCGTGAATTATTTTATTACGTTCAACGACTAATCACCGTAGTTTGAATTAAATTAGAACATACCTCTAAATAGACAAGAATGACTAACTTTTAGAAGGTGTGAAAAAAAAAATTGAACTTAAGTGATAAGACATACTCAACTACCTAACAAAAATAACTTAACATTAAGAGGTGTGAATGAGCTTGCTATCACTAAATTAATGTCCATTGCCATGGACTCAACTACTTCACACAAGACAACATTAATTTTTAAAAATAATCTCCTACTTAAAAATTGAGTACTAATTGTGTAAAATTTATATTTTAAATTGTAGTTTTTTTAAAAAAAAATTAATTACACAATTCAAAATAAAAGTGAAAAGAGAAAAAAAATAAAAGAGGTGAGAGAGAAAAGAAAAAAATATCTATGAATTAGTGGATTTGTTTAACATTGGAGAGTATATTGGTTGAATTGTATGAAATTAAATTTCATGCAAAAATATTTTTAAAAGAAAAAAAATTAAAATAAATTTTATATCATTAGATCAAAATAGATAAAAATTAAATTAATTTTCTTATATAAATTATGAATTCCAACTTAATTACCAGATACATCTGAACCCCGCTCCCCAAAAAATAAAAAATAAAAAATTTACTAGATAACTATTTATAGTCATTGCATTCCAACTTAATTACTAGATAACTCTGACCCCCCCCCCCCCAAAAAAAACAAGAAAATATTTTTTGACTTAAAAAATTGACATAATTTGTTGACTTAATGACGTGATTTTATTGGAACCATTGAATTAACACTAAATTTTTAATGTTTGATAGAGCCCACAATCAATCCAAAGGTTATAGTGAATTAGGTCAATAAATTAAGTCTCACTACCATTGCTCAAAAAAAAAAAAATTACTAAATAACTCCAAATCAATTCACAATAAATCAATTGAATTGAGTAACCAATATTACAAAAAAAACAAAAACAAACAAACACAGTTCCCAGTCTATACACAGGATAAATAAATCTCAACTTTTCCACAAAACGAAAATAATTGAATTAAATAAGAAATTCCAATCAGTTTTTCACTAACCCCTAAATCAAAAATCCAAAATTGATAATCTAATCTATTTATTTTGATAGATTTCAACTTTCCCAGGCAGCGACAGACGAGATTTTTTCGCCGGATGAGGACTTTCGACCTCGTCGTCGTTGAAACTAGGCCAAAATTCCGGCAGAGCAGGTAGGTTGAGGTCAAATCCACGGAGGCTGTTTGTGGACCCCACACCTTCCGATGTGGTTACGGCGCTGTTGCCACCGCCATGGGCTGCGCCGCCTTCATAGTGACACCTCTTGTGTCCTCCCAAAGCCTGACCAGTTGGAAAGCACTTGTGACAGATGGAGCACTCGTGAGTCCTGCCACCAGTACTATTGGTTGTGGCGGCTGTGGTGGTAGAGGTGGTGGTGGAACTTTCATCGCCTCCTCCGGCGAGTTTTCGGTGACTGGCCTTGTGACCTCCCAAAGCTTGGTAAGACCCAAAAGCTTTGCTGCAGACTGAACACTTGTATACTAGCTTTGATTTGGAAGATGTTGACGGCGGCATCGGTGGTGGCGAGTGGTTGCGATGCGAGACGGTGGGTGTGGCGTTGCTGGTGGAAGCGCCGCCGCGAGCTAACATGATAAGGCAGAGAGCAAGGTACTCTTCCTCGGTCGGTGGGCGGTCCATACCACGTGGTCGTTTGGAGCGCTTCCCTTTAGCCCACGACTCAAAATACCGGAGATGGCTATTCTTATACTGAAACGAAGGTGTCGTTGTGGTGGGTGAGTTCAAAGCTTCAAGAGCCATTGGAGATTGGATAAATACAGAGGCTTAAAACAACTTTGAGAGAGACAGAGAGAGTTTTGTAGAGAGAAGCAATGAGGGAGTTGAGAAAGTTTTGAGTGTGGGAGTGAGAAGGGGGGTGTGATGGGTTTATAAGGGAATGGAGGGAGAGAATGCGTTGTTGGGGGGGGGGGGGGCGGGGGG